ACTGTCTCAATAGCTTTCAATGGGTGACTTCAAATCTCGTAGCATCTGACAGCAGTTTTAAGTCCATCTTTTATATCGGCGACCGTATGTTAAATTTCCAGCTTTATGTGTCATTTTAACAGAATTATTTAACGGAATTGTTGACTTTGTCACGTACACGTGATATCGTCTATTTCTCAATAGCTTTCAGTGGGTGACTTCAAATCTCGTACCATCTGACAGCAGTTTTATGTCCATCTTTTATATCGGCGACCGTATGTTAAATTTCCAGCTTTACGTGTCAGTTGAATATAATTATTTAACGGAATTTTTGACTTTGTCACGTACACGTGATATCGTCACTTTCTCAATAGCTTTCAGTGGGTGACTTCAAATCTCGTACCATCTGACAGCAGTTTTATGTCCATGTTTTATATCGGCGACCGTATGTTAAATTTCCAGCTTTACGTGTCAGTTGGACGTAATTATTTAACGGAATTGTTAACTTTGTCACGTACACGTGATATCGTCACTTTCTCAATAGCTTTCAGTGGGTGACTTCAAATCTCGTACCATCTGACAGCAGTTTTAAGTCCATCTTTTATATCGGCGACCGTATGTTAAATTTCCAGCTTTACGTGTCAGTTGAATATAATTATTTAACGGAATTGTTGACTTTGTCACGTACACGTGATATCGTCACTTTCTCAATAGCTTTCAGTGGGTGACTTCAAATCTCGTACCATCTGACAGCAGTTTTAAGTCCATCTTTTTCTATCGGCGACCGTATGTTAAATTTTCAGCTTTACGTGTCAGTTGAACATAATTATTTAACGGAATTGCTGACTTTGTCACGTACACGTGATATCGTCACTGTCTCAATAGCTTTCAGTGGGTGACTTCAAATCTCGTACCATCTGACAGCAATTTTAAGTCCATCTTTTATACCCGCGACCGTATGTTAAATTTCCAGCTTTACGTGTCAGTTGAATATAATTATTTAACGGAATTCTTGACTTTGTCACTTACACGTGATATCGTCATTTTCTGAAGAGCTTTCAGTGGGTGACTTCAAATCTCGTACCATCTGACAGCAATTTTAAGTCCATCTTTTATACCCGCGACCGTATGTTAAATTTCCAGCTTTACGTGTCAGTTGAATATAATTATTTAACGGAATTGTTGTCCCTTTATCACGTTAAATTTCCACACTGTTGAATATAATTATTTAACGGATATCGTCACGTGATATCTCAATAGATTTCAGTGGATGACTTCAAATCTCGTACCATCTCACGGTGAATGTAATCAATACTAAACTAGGAAAATACTGGATGCAAATGATCCGTAAATCCCATAGAATCTTTTAGGACGCACGTGATACTTGATTTTATTATATGCATTGGAATATTTAATAGTAAATGTTCCAGAAGAAAGATTTCTGTTGCTGTAGAACAGTCAGGTAACTATCGAAAAGGATAATCGTTCACGAGTCTTTCGGACTGCAGGGGTCGCCCTTAGTGGGTGTGTCTAGGGCAAGATCGACGGAGCCCATCCCTCTTCTTTGTTAATATTCTATACTGTTTAGCAACAAAAGCTAGCAAGTACAGTCTGCCCTTCTATTTAACCCATAGAATGGGAGACGAAGTTTCTGACGCTGTAAATAAAATCCATTCTACGCTTTCATGAATCAATTGTGTTTCTCATGCTTGTTCCGGCTATCACTTTTGTTTTGTAATTAAATGGACATAAAAACAAGATTTGTAATTTTGAATATGTTATGCTCTTCTTAAATTGATTTTATCGCTTGTCTCATTCATCAATCACGATCGACACAATCAATCGGAATATGTTTATTGATTTTTCTCTCTCGGAATTCGATTGCTTTATAGCTTCCATCTTTGCTTCGTTGTCCGCATTGAACTTTGATTTATCTGTTTTTCCTTTCTAGATATTTCCATTATTTAACTAAAATACAAAAGCCGTATTATCCACATATATCATCATCACCATCATAATCATCATCATCACCACCGCCACCACCATCATCATCACTACCATCACCACCACCATCATCACCATCATAATCATCATCATCATGTTAACTCACCTCTCCAAGTTCTCCACTGACTTAACCAGGTATTGAACTCATAACTCTTTGGGTCCTGTCACTGGATCTAACCAATGCCTTTATCCACTGTGGTAAAATATGACAACAAAGATGAGTACAATAGTCCGAATAATGTAAATAGTGTACCTAATATCTCATCTCATGAAAAATAAACAGATAATAATAACAATAATAATAATAATAATAATAATTAACTAGAAATTATCAAGCACACATACTAAAATATTGTGTTTTCCCAAAATTCAGATTCTGTTATAAATATCCAGAAACAATTGATCATCTTGTATCAGGTTGCATGGTATTGGCCCCCACTATAAAACACGGCATGACAGAGTGAGCCAATATTAGCAATGGGAAACTGACAACTTCTACGGGAAGGAAACTGAAAGAAATTGTTATGGACACCATCCAGACCAGGTTACGGAGATAGGACCTGCTAGAATTTTATGGGACTACACAATACACACAGACAAAACAGTCAAAACTAACCGCCCAGACATTGTTATTTAAATTCCACACGTGACTTTTGGGAAAGGTATCAGTCTACCTCATTATACATTTAGTGCTTAATAGCAGGGCAACCAGTCTAAGAGTAGGCCAATTCTAAATTTAAAACCTTGTGTCCCTGGGACTTGTAGCTTACAATGTAGTGAGACTGTGCCTCTATACCCCACAGAGGAGTCGACAGTTTTCACACACAGATAAACGAGGGTGAATCCTTTTCATCGCCTACATTGCTATTTACTATTGATTTTTTTTAATCATTTCACAAGGCAATGAAACGATTAAAATGCAAGGGGCGTTAGGAGAAAACAAAACACTATTAAGTATGGACGATAATAAAGAAATTAAGAAGACAGAAAATAACGATTGACATTGTATTTAAATTTTGGAAGGTCAAAGTTGAAACCGGAAAAGAGTTCCACAAGCGAGAAAAGAAACTGTTAGCTGGTTACATCTAGCCATTTCAACTGAAAAAAGGATAACATAGCCGCTAATACGTCACTTAAATTCATAAATTTTAGTTATTTTACATTTTTGTGGTTTTGAAAGTGTTTCTAATATGATGGGCTTCAGTGTTCCATAGTATTTCATGGCTTGTACTTTCTTAAAAAAATAAGAAATAGACAAATTGAGCGGAAAAAAATCAAGGACCTTCTATTACGAATGTTTCTATTGTAATCGAACTGCTTATCTTACACGACGATCGATATTGACATGACTCTACGAATATCCTTATTGATTTTCTTGTATCGATTTTTTCTTTCTTTCTTGTTTTGTTTGACATTTAAGTTTTTCTACATATTTCGATATTTTGCCGAACCTAATAATAATAATAATAATGATCTAGTTGTTTACAAACAAAGTTTGAAAAGCCAGTCTATTACTTTATAAGGCACAAATCATATGATGCTATGTTTTAGAGTTCGTTATTTAATATACACTTAAATCCCGTTGAAATTTAAGAGAATCTCATGAGACTACTGAAGTATGGATAGAAGATCAAAACTGACTGGAAAGCCAAGAGGCCGGAGGAGAGTTACACATGCGAGAAGTGCGAGAGAAGAAACTTTAAGCATAGAACTTACGGTTTATATCTAGCCATTTAATCTGTAGTCATAGTACTGAGTAATCTATTACTGCGCATAAAGTCATAAAAGTCCAGGTGTCACAGAGGAAAATTCATGAGAGCAATTACCATGCAAATACTTATAGAAAGAGCAGAGGAAAACAACGTTATAGCTGCAGGAAAGTGACTGATGCCGAGATGAAGATACCAATAATATTGCATCAAATTCTTGGGATTTCATCAAGAATCTCTAAATATATAGCAGAAGTATCAGACCAGATGTTGCAGCAATATTCAATACATGGACGAATGGTAAACTTATAAAGGTGTAAGATAAATTCAGGCAAGAAAGATTGTCTAGAACAACACAGTGAACCAACTTTCCTAGAAGCAGACCTAGCAATTGATTCAATATAATCTTTCCACTTCAGGTCAGCAGAAGACGTTAGACCGAGATGTCACACGGAATCACTTTCTTAGAGATTCGCATCAGCCTTGCTGATGTAAGGCAATAAAAGGTTTCTCTCAGTCGATTAAAAAATAATAGTTTTGATTTGGAGACGTTAAAATGAACAAGCCAGTTATTTCTTAAGTTAAAAAATATATTGTAGGTCATTTTTGAGCTTAGTTGTTAATTTGACCATATTTAACCGATCAGATTTACTATTAAGGCAGGAGTAAGTAGTTATGTAATGAGTATGAATATCGGATTGAGCACTGACGACATCAGAAAGCTCGTTGATGAAGATAAGAAACAACTTAGGTCGGAGGATAGAGTCCTGGGGACATCTTCATTAGTGTGAAAAGATCTAGAGTAGTGGTCTTTTGCGATAACTAATTCCGAAATGGCATAACCTTTCAACTTGTGAAGAAAACCAATATACCAAACCTTGCCAAATGCTTTCGAGATATGTAAAGCAACAGTCCGAGCTTCACCACCTTCATAATACTAAAACTCTATGAACTTTGCCTGCTTGTATGTTTGCCACAGTGCACACGAAGGCATATATAGAGAGTGGGAGAAAGAAAGATGTAAATTTATTATCGCATCGGAAGGGTGGTGAGAAGAAAATGGTGTGTATACATGAATTGACAGTTAGACCAAAAGACAAAAAAAACCTCTGTCTTTCCACCTCTCTCTCTTTCCAGCATTGCGTGATTCTGGGAACTTTGTTTGCTTGCTTCCGTGTGTGTTTCCCATCATGCACCCGAAGTCATATATAGAGAGTGGGAGAAAGAAAAATATAAATTTATTATCGTGTTGGAAGGGTGGAGAAAAAGAAATGGTGTGTGTAGATGAATAGATAGTGAGACCAAAAGAAAAAAGAACGCTCTCTCTCTCTTTCCACCTCTCTCTCTCTTTCAAACGCTCTCTCTCTTTCAAACGCTCTCTCTTTCCACCACTCTCTTTCCACCTCTCATTCTTTCAACATCTCTCTTTCACCTCGCTCTCTTTCACCTCGCTCTCTTTCCACTTCTCTCCTTCCACCTCCCTCTCTCTTTCCACCTCCCTCTCTCTTTCCACCTCCCTCTCTCTTTCCACCTCCCTCTCTCTTTCCACCTCCCTCTCTCTTCCACCACTCACTCTTTCCACCTCTCCTTCCACCTCTCTCTCTCTTTCAACCGCTCTCTCTTTCCACCACTCTCTTTCCAACTCTCACTCGTTCAAACTCTCTCTTTCACCTCTCTTTTTCCGCCTCTCTTTCACCCCTCTCTCTTTCCAACACTCTCTTTCCAACTCTCATTCTTTCAACCTCTCTCTTTCCACCTCTCCCTTTCCACCTCTCTCTTTCCCCCTCACTCTTTCCACCTCTCACTCTTTCCAGCTATCTTTCTTTTCTCTCCTTCCACCTCCCTCTCTTTCCACCTCCCTCTGTCTTTCCACCTCACTCTCTCTCTTTCAACCGCTCTCTCTTTCCACCATTCTCTTTCCAACTCTTACTCGTTCAACCTCTCTCTTTCACCTCTCTCTCCTTCCACCTCTCTTTCACCTCTCTCTCTTTCCACCACTCTCTTTCTACCTATCTCTCTTTCCAACTCTTTTTCACCTCTCTCTCTTTCCACCACTCCCTTTCTACCTATCTCTCTTTCCAACTCTCATTCTTTCAACCTCTCTCTTTCACCTCTCTCTCTTTCCACCACTCTCCTTCCACCTCCTTCTCTTTCCACCTCCCTCTCTCCTTTCACCTCTTTCTCTTTCCACCTCCCTCTCTCCTTCCACCAATCTCTCTTTCCACCTTCCCGTGATTGCGTGCGTGCTAATTTATATTTCAGCTTTCTTTAAACAAACAATATTTTAAATATTTAAAAAATATTTTTTGCCATATTTAAAAATAATTTCAAGTGATTATGATTTAAAATTTATTCCAATTTTCTTCAAACAGAGAATTTTTTCGATGTTGATAGCAGCTTCAATAAATCATAATCTTAACTTTCAGTGACTCAACGGGTCACGGGTAGTATAATAATAAATGTCTGCGAATTGGGTGTACGTCGGCCGCCAGGCGCATAATGGTTGAAGTTTCTTTTCACCTCTGTCTTCCCATCTTTCTCTTCCCACCGTTCTCTTTCCACCTCTCTCTTCCCACCTCTCTGTCTTTCCACTTCTCTCTTTTCATCTCCCCCTCTTTCCACCTTTCTCTTTGCACCTCTCTCTCTTTCAGATCTCCCTCTTCCACCTCACTCTTTCTACTTCTCTGTCTTTCCACCTCTTTCTTTCTACGCTTCTCTCTTTTCATCTTTCTCTTACTTTCCACCTCTCACTTTTCACCTCTCTCTTTCCACCTCTACCTATTTCCACCTTTCTCTTTGCACCTCTCTCTCTTTCAAACCTCTGTCTTCCCACCTATCTCTTTTCACCTCTCCGTCTTCCCACTTCTCTCTTTCCACCTCCTCTTTCCACCTCTTTTTCACCTCTTTTTCCAGCTATCTCATGCTTATTTATACCTCTCTCTCTTTCAAAAACAATATTTTAAACATTTAAAAATATTCTCTCTTTTGAGAATTGTTTCTCTGAATTCATTTAAAAATCTTTTGATATATTAAAAATATTTCCCACTTTCTCTTTCAAAATATTTAAGAATTCCACCTCTCTCTTTATACAGTAACTTCCCTCTTCAAACACAATTTTTTTATGTTGAAATCAACTTCAATGTTTTATAAACTGAAGCATCATTACCCAACGGGTCACTGGTAGTCTAGTTCTTATCTAAAACTTGAGGAATACTTTGAGTAATAATCGTTAATATATTAGAAGTTGTCCTAGAGAAGTGAAAGCCATATTGCTTATCTTAAATAAATTATTAAATTTGATTATTTTATTATTTCTTTCCCAGGGATTTACGTGCTTGTATAAATATTTTATACTTTTCAGCTTTTTTTAAGTAAATTAAATATTTTAAACATTTATAAAAATATTTTTATATATATTTATATATAGTATTTTAATTTTATTTAAAGGCGAATATCATTTGAAAAATCTTTTGACATACGATGTCAAAAAATATTTTGAATTTAATTTCAAAATATTTAAAAGAATCCAAAATTCAAAAAATTGTTTGTTCATTATTTATACAGTAAGTCAATAAGATTTTCTTTCAAACACAATTTTTTTTATGTTTTTTTTTGAAATCTATTCATAAACAGAACCATTTTATAAAACTGAATTGCATCATTACTTATTTACGGGTATTTTGGAAAGTCTGAGTTCTTATCTAAAACTTGAGGAATAACTCATTACATTAATAATCGTTAGATATTTTGAGTATTTTGTCCTTGAGCAAAGTTCTCTTCTCTTTTGTCAATATTGTCTTTATCTTAAATAAATTATTAAATTTGAAAAATTATTTTAATTATTTTTTTAACTGAGTAATGCTTATATATTTATTGTAGCAAAAAGTTCTTTATAAATATTAAAAACAAGCATACACTTGTCTAGTTGCCAATGGGATTTTTTTTCTTTCTTATTTAAACATCTTTATGAAGATGTTGGAAGAAAAATTATCAGTATAACATTATGCACACATTTCTAGTGCCATTATTCAAACGAGTAGTTCTAGTATAAATATCATGTTCAAAATACAATGTTAAAATAACCTGGTCATACTTTGAAGGAACTATGTCAATTTTTATTAGTTCCTCTGTTAAAAAGATGCTTAACCAATTCAGAGTAGTTTAGAGCGTCTAGTACTTTGCCAAAAAAAGAAGTAGATGGCTAATAGTCCCATAGATGGATCAGGTAATTCTAAGTTTGAAAAGACGTTATGTATTTCAATTTACCAAATATGGCAACACAAAAACGAGCTAAAAATAGTCATGAAGCAGCACCACTTTAATACAATGTAGAGGTTGGAATATTCTAACACCTGCATGAGGAAGATCGTGGGAAATAGGTAACTGTTGTCCTTGTCCCATATTAAAACTTCACATTCAATCTCTGTCGGTGTGGAGTAAACACACTGTGTGCTGTGTGACTCACACCACGAAAAAGCCATAGGTTTGAAGTGAATTCAATATACGTCAAAAGCATTTGATCTATGAAGAATTGATCTGTGGTGTCCCCTGTATTTACTATGTTCACCCTAAATGATGCCAAGTAAGTTCTGTGTTCGGTGTCACTTTCGAAAATCAAAAGATATAGGTTTGACTTGGAATGTACCCTTAAAGTCACCAAGTACGTAGTCGGGCCTCAAATGATATCAGTGGGTGCACCAATATAAACAAGGAAGTGAATCCAGCTGAACTTGGGGTATATATATATAAAGTGTAACCCGGATATAAGAGAGTTGTCGGGACCGGAGAAGTCTCTTATATCCGGGTTTCTCTTATATCCGGGTTTGGTCTATTTTGTTTAGGTAAGTATGGCTCTAATTTGGGACCAGAAAAATCTCTCTTATATCCGGGTTTCTCTTATATCCGGGTTACACTGTATATACCCTAAGTTCAGTTGGATTCACTTCCTTGTTTATATTGGTGCACCCACTGATATCACACACAAAACAACCTGATAACAGGACGTTTTATAAATGCTCAACCCACGATGGGAGAAATAGACTTTCTCGTAAAAGACAATCAGATATGCGAAGAAAAACCCGAAACCACATATCCTCGATATGGCCAGTGTTAATTTGACAGGAGTCCAGATGTGAATAAGAAATTATTTTTCGTATAAAAAATTGAATTTATTATTCTTGTCAGACGAACTAGAAATATCATCGGCCTTGTTCAAATTTACCCCTGGACAGAGGTAGATCAACACGTAAGGTTTACGGTTTAGGGGTATTTTTCTATTGTTAATGGGAACATGGAAAGATTGAAAGAATGATTACTAGGTTCGTGAAAAGGTTTTCAGCTTAAGCAAATAAAATTAAAAAGTTTTACTGTATATTCAGTATCTAGTGTTTTAAAAAGAGTCTGCTTGGAACATTTGTACGCGTTTAATATAAACGTATTTTTTTATATAAGAGAATTGTCCAGATGTCGACTAAGTGCCAAAAGAAAACACTTTATCAAGCCATAAAAATCTAATCGACATATTTTGGCAAACTTGATGGATTATTTCAACAATTTATTGCATGACCTTTTCTTTCTGAGCCAATTTTTAGGGCCACACCCAGCTCCGGGGTTTAATGTCGTCATTAAACTACAAAAGGTGTCTTCGATTTTCATCTTTTACTAAGACTCAGCATCATCCACATTTTTTTTTCTATTCTGGATCTTTGACGTGCAACTCGTTAGTGCTTTGTTGAAATTGATAAAAAGTTCGTTTTCTTCTTCGAGTTGTTTCTAGCTAATAGCAAATTAAGATTCACTTTTTATCGATCTTCTTTGACCGGATTCGATCTTTGTTTTATTTTTTTTGCGTTTATTATCTCACAACAGCGAAGTAACAATGCCCGATGGGTGCCCAAAATGTCGAGTGGACGTCGAGATGAAAAAAAGAAAAGAAAAGAAAAAAAGAAAAGAAAAGAAAAAAAAAAGAAAAAAAAAAGAAAAGAAAAAACGAAAAAGAAAGAGAGGAACAAGAAAGTCGATACTGTATCAAAAGAAAAAAAGAAAAAAAACAAAAAACACCTGACGATGAATAGCGAATAGACAGGAATAAAGAGTGTGACAGAAAATAAGAATATAATTAATAAGTTAAGCCAGAAAACAACAAAATAATCTATCTCCATCTTTGTTATATCCATTCAGGATGTAAGGAATCATGGTTCTCCACAACTTCCAGTCTCAGCAATACTTACGATTTTACGATAGCTTAAACTTTTTGGTATTTGTCCATTTACTCATAATTTTCATGTTGGTTGTTCGCTATTTTCTCTGCTTCTCATGCTTTTGATACGCCCTGTAAGTGTTAAATTCTCCAAGTCTACTTCCTTCATAACACATGTCCAAATATTTCAGCTGTGGTTTACGCAACAGTTTCTTTGAAGTTTCTCTTTTCTTTAAAACATTAATTATTCACAAGCCACGTTCGTGGTATTTTCGACACTTTTTACAAGAAGTACATCTCTGGCATTTCAAGTTTGTTTCACATGTGTGACAAAATTGTCTGACTTTCGACGAAAATAGTGGGGGGGTAATAATTAGACACTTCGCCGTGCTGTAATTGTTAGCAATCTTGTCTCGCGAGATCAATTACGACTGAATAGTGAGTTCGATCCTCACTGAGTGCCGCATGCTTTCGGTCTTGTGCTACGCTTAGACAATCATTTGGGCACTTTAGCTTGGTGTAGTGGTTAGCAAGCTCGTCTAGCTTGATCAGTTACGACTGAATAGTGAGTTCGATCCTCACTGGGTGTCCATTCTTTTTTTTATCTTGTGCCACATCTAAGCTACGCTTATGAAATCTCCATAGATAAGTAAGCATTGGGCACTTAAGCGTGGTGTAGTTGTTAGCAAGCTTATCTCTCTAGATCAATTACGAATAGTGAGTTTGACCCTAACTGGGTGCCCCATACTTTCGGACTTGTGCCACATCTAAGCTACGCGTAGGAAGTCACCATAGATGAATAAATATTACATATCAGCCCAGCATCCTTTTCTTCATTTCTATTAATGTTATTATTTTTATTTTTGGATTATTGTTTCTGACTCGTGAAGTAATTTTTTTCGCCGTTACACGTTCTTTCTTTCTTTTCTAAGTTTATTTCATAAAATTGCTAATAAATAAATATAAACCTCATATATATATATATATATATATATATATATATATATATATATATATATATACACACACAAATATAGATAACTATACTCGTTTCTAAAAACCCTCGAATTTTTGATTTGCCAATAATCAAATCAATCTTGAGAGAAAAAAGGTTTTAGAAAAAGAAAGAGAGCTAGAAACATGAAAGTTTGTCGAAAAAAATCGCACAGATACAGGTTCAAATCCCAAAGAAAAACCCCCGACACGAGTAAACAACTAACTAACAAAAGAGCTCAATACAACCGTAGAGCAGACCTAGATAAACCTGGTGAGCCAGACAAACCTACCCATCGTCAGGGAAAACTGGCTCTCCCTGATGATCCGCTTAGGTGAAACCTGGGTAGGTTTGTCTGGCTCACTAGGTTTATCTATCTATCTATCTATCTATCTATCTAAAGAAATATAGTCTTAAGGTGTGCTATATTTATGGAATAAAGTGCTCAATATCAGAGATAGAGCGTGTGAATATAAAATATATATAAAACCTAATGATAAACCACTCTACATACACACATCTTCCAACCATCCGCCTTCTATAATCAAACAGATACCAAAATCGATTAACCGCAGGCTCTCCGACAATTCCTCCAATGAATCCCCATTTAACAAAGCTAAGAAAAACTATGAAACGGCCCTAAAAGATAGCGGATTCCCAGCAATACTCACATACTCACCACAGAATACAAAAAAGGCCAACAGGAGAAGAAATATCATATGGTTCAACCCACCGTACAGCAAGAACGTAAAAACAAACGTAGGAAAAATATTCTTCAAAGTCTTACACAAACACTTCCCAGAATCAAGCACCTTACACAAGATATTCAACAAAAACACAGTAAAAATCAGCTACAGCTGCACCGAGAGCATGGCACAAATAATAAAAAAGCACAATAGGAAAATTATCAACAAACCACACGAACAAATTAAACCCACGTGCAACTGCAGAATAAAGAAAATGTCCCTTAAACGAAATGTTTCAAAACCGTAATATACCAAGCCACGATAAAATCACCAGATAATGAAGAAAAAAGTATACATAGGAGTAACTGAAGGACCCTGGAAGGAAAGAAATTATACACACAAAACATCTTTCACAAATAGAACAGTACAATGCTTTCTAAGTATATCTGGGAAATTAAAAACAAAACGCACATCACACTAAAAATATCTTGGAAGAGAAGGAAAAAGTCATTAGCCTACAACAACCAATCAAAAACTTGCAAATTTTGCTTGGAGGAAAAAATAGCTATCATTACTTTCCCCGACCAAAATAAATTATTAAATAAAAGATCCGAGCTCATCTCAAAATGCAGGCATGAAAATAAATTTTTACTACGTAACCTAAAAAATGAAAAACGGAAAAAATAAAATAAAAACAAATAAATACACTAATAAAAGATAAAAAATAAATAAATACTATGTTGCTAAAAACCGAAAAGAGAAAATATACAAGTAAAATAAATTGACCTAAATTCATCCAAGTAAATAAATAGACAAACCAATCCCAAATTAAAAACTCTTCCCGCCAAAATAATAGTTAGAATGAACTACAACAACCAACCCCAAAATTGAACAAATAGCTTTAATTAAATTCTCAAACCAAAACAAAACTGTTAAATAAGTGATATAAACAAATTTTTACTACGTTAATAAATAAATAAATAAAATAAAAACGAGCAATATAACTTGACCCAGATAAATAAACAAACGACTTCCGGTAAAATAACCGCCATAATAGAATACCCACAATGCACCACTAACCCGTATATATATAAATAGCCGAGAAAAATAACAGCATATGTGGCCTGACGATTGCATATAGCATGAAACAGACTGTCGCCTCTAAGTGTTGACTTCTATGTTCACTTTCATATATATATATATATATATATATATCAGTAATTTATAAGCTTTTTTTTTATCATTTCACCCAAAGCAATGCGGGAATGCCACTGGTATGCAGGTTTGTGTGTGTGGGGGTATTACAGAGTGACAATAAGAGAAAAGACTGTGTATAGGGTGGACCGAGGAAAGGATAAGAGATGAACGGGGTTTAAGAAGATGGAAGATGGCGATTGACGTTGCATTTAAATTTTTGCAGATTTCAGTTATGAGGGAAGTAAAGAAATGGAAGGGAGTTCCACAGACGGGAAGCGCGAGATAAGAAACTGTTGGAGTAGAAGTGGCAGTTACATTTAACTAATTCATCAATAAAAGGGAGAGACCTAAATGCCAATCTAGTAAGACGCTTAAATTCATGCAGTCCGGGCACCAGAGAAGAAAAATCGTCAGGGCAGTAGCCATGATAATATTTGTAGAAAAGACAAAGGGAAGTCACTTTACGTCGGTGAGAAAGTGACTGAAGCCGAAGTGCCAGGTCAGGATCGATTACATTGCAGATCCTTCTTTGGATTTTGTCAAGGACCTGAGACGAGTAGCAGGAGCACTAGACCAGAGTTATCTGGTAACAATATAGGTAACAATATTCAATATACGGACGAATGGTAGCTTTAAATGTGCAAAATAGACTCTGTCAAGAAAAAAACTTTTGGCACGATACAGTGACTCAACTTTCCTTGCAGTAGATGCAGCTACTGGTTCCAAATTCAAGTCAGTTGAAAACGTGAGACCTAGAAGACGCGGCATGTTGCTCTCCATGAGCCGTTATTATCAAGAGGTTGGCATACATATTAATTGTGGCCGTTAGCACATCAGAGACACACGACAACTCAACTTCATTCGACGTCTCTAATCCTATCACAACACGAAAATTGTATTAAAATGGATGGAGTATAATTAATATATTATCGGGTTAATTTGACAGAGAGGCGTGCAAAATATTTCAGCTCCGTTTCTGCGAATAACGAGTCCTTGATATTGATGACGTCTTAGCATAGAATTTATGATTTAATTTCTAAAATTATTTTGTTTTTAACACAGCCTCTCCTCTACATACATTTAACACAGCCACTCCACTACATACATTTAACACAGCCACTCCACTACATACATTTAACACAGCCACTCCACTACATACAATTACACCACTATATACTTTTAAAACAGCCACTCCACTACATACATTTAACACAGCCACTCCACTACATACATTTAACACAGCCACTCCACTACATACAATTACACCACTATATACTTTTAAAACAGCCACTCCACTACATACATTTAACACAGCCACTCCACTACATACTTTAACGAACCCGCCTGAGATTTTTAAATTTCGCTATCAATGTTCGTGAGATATCACTCTTCGAGTTAATATGCACCAGTTTATATTTACATATGTAAATTCGATACGGAAAGAAAGATATTGATTGATTAAGTGAATATAATGAACCTGACTGGAATTAGAACTCCGATCTTTGATTTCCAATTCTGAGCCAATATCCATTAAACCACCCGCACATCCGAGCTTACAGTAAGCAGTAACCGATCTAGGTACTCACCACGCTCGACGTTGCTTAACTTCGGTAATCATACGGGAACCGGAGAAACAAAAATATGAAGTCTTATACACCGAATAGGTAAAATGTTGACCATAATTTGTTTCTTTTTTACAAATCCAGGTCAAGAAGATTTTTATAAATAAATTGTCAAACCTGATCATTCAGGTTATTTTCTTACCTAGCGACAGGAAGTTTACACAAACTGTAGGTCACGGTAAAAGATCAGGATTTAACATATCAGTGGAATTAAAACACATTATCAAACAACGGAAAATTGTGACAACGCTAAACTTTCATTTGTCTTCTCGCTGGAAGTAAAACCTTGACTGATGCTGTGATCCCTAATCTGATAATAAATACAATTGAATTATATATCCTCTTGTTAGATATGCAAAACGTGAAGTCAAGACGATATTTTTGAACTTTTTATTTGTTTACTATTTCTCTTCCTGCCTGTCTCACTATATATATATATATATATATATATATATATATATATATCATTGAATACGACAGGTGCTTTTATTTAGTTTTTTATACAATTTCACATGTGATATAATAATTTTCAATTGATAAATTATATAAAAACTGTCCGAATGTTCTTTTTATCCGAGCGCGCTTTCGGCTATACATTTAGCCATTTTCAAAAGGGGAGTGTTGTTTGTAGACTTCTTGGGACGATGTTTACCATTTCTTAGTCAGCAGTTCCATCGAAAAGTGTGGCTGGTTATACACAATTTATTATCACTACAAACAAATCATTTGTGTGGGTAGTCTAGGGTTTCACACCTAAAACTAAAGGCCTCTATACGTTAAAAATTGACGGATAATCATCTATATATATATATATATATATATATATATATATATATATATATATATATATATCGATACGGAAAAAAAAATATGATTCCTTAAGCTACATAAGAGTTCTCATGTTTCAAAAAACTCAATATAATTATTTAAATTAAATTGAATATCCATTAAACCACCTGTTTCATCCGAGCTTGAGGATGAAACAGGGCTTGATATTTTAATTCACGTTAGCTTGCTTTGATAGTTTAACAGTAATTTAACCTGAAAAATGAGTCTTATACACCGAATAGTGAAAAAATAGCGAAAATTTTACTGGTTTTTTTACAAATTTTCAAGTTGATTTTTTTCAACCAATTTTCAAATCAAATTCTTAACAATTGCTTTATAAATGTATCCAAACTATTTCCCTGGTAAAAAGCACATTGACAAACTGAATCTTAAAAATTATCCAAAATAATTGTGCCCTAAAGTTTCATTCATGTTGCCTGTTTAAAACCTTCATGATCCTCGGCTAATCTTCGACTGATTAAATATGATATCCTCTTGTTATATCAGTAACTGCATTAATTCAAAATGTTTTTTAATGAAAATATTTGAAAGTAATTGAAGAAGATAGACTATGTTACATATAAACATGATGCTGTTTTTATCCATTCTAATTGAACGCTTTTTTTCTTTTCGACCATTTGGGTATATGGCTAATTTTCAATTATAAAATAATAAAAATTAATGTTCATTATAAAGCTGGCTCGGCTGTTTGATCAAGAGAGTGTAATTTTATTTTAAGGTAATAGTTTTTTTAGTCTATTTTTGAGGTGTGATAATAATGCTTTTTATAATTATTTCTACAAACAAATCATTTGTAGTCAGATAGAGCTAGGGGTTCATGCCCTAAAAACTCCCTCGTGAATAATTGATTATTTCGTTTTGATCGCGAGGAAAGATAGAAAAGACATATCATCGATGCTGATATTATAAAATTTTATTAAATGGACTACTTTATTAAAATGTATTTTTATTAAATAGACCACTTGATAAAAATGACATATTAATTAAAAGGGCCACATTATTAAAACTATTTCTTTTTTTTTTTAAATAATTTCACCGCAAGCAAGG